CCCTCTGGGAGGCTGAGGCAGGAGGATCCCAAGGTCAAGCCCACTCTGGACAACTCAGCAAGACCCTGTCTGAAAATAAAAAATTAAAAAAGGGGGCCGGGGATGTAGCTCAGGGGCACAGCGCCTGCCTGGCAAGCACAAGGCCCTGAGTTCGATTCCTACTTCAAAAAATAAATTAAAAGAGGGATGAGGATGTAACTCAGTGAGAAGGCCCTGGGTTGGATCCCTAGTAGCACAAGAAAAACAAAACAAAACACAACAGTGTAGCTATGGGGCTCTTGTTGTGCATCTAGGGAGGGCAGACAGGACGGGCTCAGGGACCCCACAGGGAGTGACAAGTCCCCAGATGGAGAAGGACCCCAAGGGGTGGCCCCTACTGCTGTCAGGAGCCCCAGCTGATCCTTCCCTCCAGCACGGGGGCTGAGAAGGGGTCCCTGGAGCTGTCCCAGGGATGTGGGGGCCCCTGGGCCTTGGGCTTTCCCTCCCTGAATTGGGAATCACCATGGCGACCGCACAGGCTGCTGCCAGGGTGGCAGGAGCTCAGCCACGCGAGGCCTCGAACCCAGCACCCACGGGGAGCCTGTGACTGTCCCCATCCTGCCCCACCCCCAGCTCCCAGCTCCCCAGCTCCCCAGCTCCCCAGCTCCTGGCTCCAGAAGGGTGGCGGGGATCCGAGAAGGAAGAAGGAGAAGCAAAACAAAGGACCAAGCAGCCAGGACAAGTCGCTGGTCGCTCACCCAGCTCAAACACAGCGGGCGCTGGGGACAGCACCTTGTCGCACACCTCCACAGCCGCCCTGTCCGCTTAGCAGGACCCACTGACTGAGTGACGGAGCCGGCATCTGAGCTCGGGTGGCCTCTCTTGGGCATTCTTCCCTTCTTTTCTTTTCTTCCTTTATTATTATTATTATTATTTTTGTCTTTTTGAGACAGGGTCTCACTATGCAGTTCAGGCTGGCCTTGAGCACACTTTGTAGCCCAGGCCAGTCTTGAACTCACAGGGATCCTCCTGCCTCAGCCTCCCCAGTGCTGGGATTACAGGCGTGTACCACCATGCCCAGCTTCTTCTTTTTTTTTTTTTTTAGACAAGGTCTTGCTTCCTAGTCCAGGATGGCCTTAAACTCATGGCGATCCTCCTGCCTCAGCCTCCCAAGTGCTGGTATCACAGGTGTGTGCCACCACACCTCGTTTGCGGCAATCCTTCCTTGTGGCGGCGGCGTCCCCACCTCCCCTGCTCCTCAGTCCCCACGAGTGGCCCGAGTGTCTCTCTGTGGGCCTCTGTTCAGGGCACCCTGCAAGACCAGGGTCTTTGGCGTCCCTGTTGGCCAAAGAGTCCCCTTCCCTCCCCAAGAGCAACCAGACGTGGCAAGTGTCCTGGACCTTCTGGCGCCTATTCTGGACCCCAGGGAGCAAAGGGACGGGACAGAGGCGTCCTGCAAGCAGTGGGGGGCGGGGCTGTGCGCCTCTCACTGACCCCGGAGGCTTCCCGCACTCTGCCCGCTGCAGCCCGCTCAGGGCCGCGCTCAGCCAGAGCCCACGTGGAGCCTATTTTTGTTGTTTTTTGGTTTTGGTTATTTTCTGGTACCGGGAATCGAACTCACGACCTTGTGCTTGCCAGGCAGGCGCTGTGCGGCTGAGCTAAATCCCCAGCCCCCCTTCGGAGCCTTTTATTACCTGCACTCGCTATGGCTCCACAGCACTGCACAGGAAAACCATTTCGGGGCGCAGCTTCCCGGCAAGGAGAGGCCAGCAAGGAGGGGCCGTAAAGAACAGAGATCACAAGGTCCCCAGCGGGCTCTCGGGGATCAGAGGGAGGGAAGAGCGGCAGCTGAGGCTCTTCCGGGCCACCAAGGGCACGGCCTGTGGGTCCGAAGGCTGCCGCCCGCCCGGTCGGGCCTTAACCTGGGTCCATAGGGGAGGTCAACGAGCCTCCTTTGGGCAGGAGCTGCCTTGGGGATCCCGCTCCGCCCCATCTTCCTCATCCCCAAACCCAGGGTGTGCTAGAGTCAGGTTTTCCTGGTTCAAATCCCAGCTACGCCCCAGTTGACAGCGGTGTGACCCTGGGCAAGTTTTTCAACCTCTCTGGGCCCCGTGTTTTCAATGGGGTGATGGTGGTACTTAATCATCCACCTGGGTTGATCCCAGTTCATTGGGGGGATTAAGTGAGATAATACATGGCATACAGTGAGCGGGCCTGGAGTGCGGGCACCACGGAGCCCTGCCCTGCCAGCACCCGCCGGATTTGCCTGCCTCCAGCATCTTTGCCTCCTCAAGCCTTTAAGCCTTTTAAGCACTGGATATACACAAGGCTGCTCAGAACTTTCGTCACATGTGTAGCACAGTGTGTAACAAACCCCTTGGTCTAAAGCCTTTGGAGCAATGGTCTTGCTGGCTATTTCACAACCCAGATTAAATTCTGGACCGCTTGCATCCCACAGGCTGCCAACAACAATGTCTGATCTAGTTTTCTCCTTCAGGAGGCCTACAATGAAATCAGGAGCTGGGTGTGGTGGTGCATGCCTGTGATCCCAGCACTCGGGAGGCTGAGGCAGGAGGATTGCCAAGTTTGAGGCCAGCAGGGGCTACCCAGAGAGTTCAAGCGAGATCCTATCTCAAAACACAAACCAGCCCCCAGCCCTCCCCCGCCAAATCGGTTAAATAAAAATGCCAGCAGGCTAGCCAGATCCCAGGGGTTACTGCCTTTGCCTCATGCCCACTGTGGGAGCACATGGGGGGGCACTTCCTGGGCTCCTCTGCAGACCCAGGGTGCGTCTGATCTTCCCGGCGGCCTCTGCCCAGGCCCCTCCCCCCGTCTCGTAACCCTGACTCATCTGTGTTGCCCAATCTCGCCTCCATCCGTCCGTTCATTCATTCCTGCGGGTCATTCTCACGGGCTCAACTCCATGCTGTCCCCAGCAGGCCGAGGCTCGGCTGCCTCAGGACGGACCTGATCACGGGCCGGCGCCATCAGGGGTCCCGGGTGGGCACATCCTTTCCCCGGCCTGGCCCAGAGTCCCGAATGCTGCCCCGAAAGCTCCGGGCCTGGGACGCAGTCGGGCCGGCGGAGGAGAGGGCGACGCAGGCAGGGGCATCGCGGAGGGATCAGGCTACCGATCCATCCATCGGGGCTGATGCCAAGGCCTGAGAACGGTGAAGGCAGAGGCGAGGAGGCCGCACTGGGCTTCCGGTGGCCCTGGAGGGGGCGGACGCGGGGAGGCCAGAGGGGCCTCTGTCCCGGCCTCAGCCCCATTCCAAACCATGGGCCTCCACTCTGTATTTCTCTAGGGAGGAAGATTTCTCTTCAATAAAATAAAATCTCTCTTCCAAAGCTTGTGTAAGCCGTTGCCACGAACGAGGACTGCAGAGGGGCCAGTTGGGGACAGACCTGGGATTTAGGCAGAGCCTCTTTGGGAACCCCTGTGGCAGAAACCCGGTGCCAAGGCCCGGGGCAGGGAGCCCGAGGCGTGGCCTGGGAATGTGACATCAGTCACTGTCACTCGGGTGGATGGAATGTGGGAGGTCACGAGGTGGGGTGGGGGTGAGGCGGCGCCCCAGGACCCGGAGGAGCTGGGAAGGTGGGAGAGGCAGCTCGGGACCCACTGGAGGCGGGGCAGCTCCAGAAGAGGATGAGGCAGAGCTGGGGCCCAGAGTGCGGGACAGGCCGGGGCCTGGGGACAATGTCTAGGACCTAACTCAGGGACAGGGCTGCGGGAACATCGCCGGAGGAGCAGTGCTTCGGCGACACCGGGAGGGGTTTTTTAAAGGAAAAGGCCAAGAAGGTAACTAAGGCCCCAAGAGTGACCCCTCCCGGGCCCAGGGGCCTCCAGGGCTGGGGGAGCTGGAGATGCTGTCCTACTGTAGGGGCCTCGACACCTGGTTCTGACAGAGACACGGGGGAGGGCGCAGGCCTGGATCAAAGCCAGGGGAGAGGCTCCCAGTGTGTGTGGGGTGCAAGGACCCTGCAGGTGAGCTACTTTCTGAGACACAACGCGCAGCCCCGAGCCCTGGCAGGAAGTGCTAAGTAGCGCGGCGGACCCCCTTTCCCATGGGCCCAGAGATGCTAAGAGCCTTGTTCAGGCCACACAGCACTTGGTTGGGGTTAGCGGCCCCACCTCTGGAGTCCTGTCTCTCGGGGCCCTGGCTTTGGGGTGAGAGAGGGCCCAGCAGCACACAGGGGTGGGGACAAGGCGGCCTTGTCTCCTCCTCACAGCCCGTGCAGCCAGAGGTCACCCCAACGCGGTGCTCTGTGATCCTAGGCGGCCGCCTGCCCTCTCTGGGCCTCGCCTGTTCTCCCAAGAAATGGAGCCACGGGAGAGGCACGCGAGGCTCTCACCACAGCAGTTAGGGAGAAAGAACCTGGGAGCCCAGGTCACGTCCGACTTGGGCAGTGGGGCTGTGACCGACCACTTTCCCTTTCAGCCTTGGTTTCCCCCTCCGGGAGGCAGGTGCTCCGCAGGTGTCCGACTCACTGGGTGCTGTCAGGAGCTGGAGGGCTCTGTCCTTTCCTCTCCAACCCGCTCCCCTCCCCGAGCACAGCCTTCTCCCTCAGGGACACCCAGGCATCCCCACCCTGCCCACCTTGCTCTGCCACCCCCAACCCAAGCAGGGGGCACATTCTCACCCATGGGAAGCACCCTCATTCTTTTTTGGGGGGGACAAGGTCTCACTATATAGCTGAGGATGGCCTCAAACTTGTGGTGATCCTCCTGCCTCAGCCTCCTGAGTGTTGGGGTCACAGGCATGCGCCACCACCCTGCTACCCACTCCATTTTTGAGGGCTTTCCAGGAAGAAATGCGGTGCAGCAAGCCCTCAGGTTTGCTAGGCGGCTCCTGGGTACCCCAAGCAGCCCCCAAGCAGGCACCAAGGAGGTGGCAGCTGTGGGCCCCTTGCATAGAGGAGCAACCGAGGCTAGGGTGACTCAGTGCCAACGGCCCGGAGGGGCCCCGGGGCCACCAGCTCGGTCCCTGTCCCAGCACTCCCAGATTTTCGGGCCACCTCACCTGATCTCCGGGATGTTGTTCTCGAAGTAGTCCGACATCAACGGGGCGCAGGGCCCGTCCATGGCGGTGGGCGAGGGGCGGGAGGAGAGGAGCTGGCCAGTTGCGCGCAGCCCGCGTCTGTCGCCGATCGAGCGCCAGGTGCCAGCCAGGTGCGACCTCGCCCGCCCAGGGGCGGGGCAGCAGCCGGTTCGCCCAGGTGCTGCCCACGCCCCGCGCGCCGCCGGACAGGAGGGACGGGCGCCTCCCTGTTCCGAGGGCGGGAGAGGAGGGCGGGGCCGCGCGGGCCCCAACCAATGGCACCCCGGAGGCGGCCCTGGCACCGGCGCATCCACCCAGGTTGTTCGTTCATTCATTCATACACTCTTTCTTTCTTTTCCTTTTTTCTCTTTTTTGCTTTGAATTTTTGAATCAGGGTCTTGCTCTGTAGCCCAGGCTGGCCTCAAGCTGGCAGGGTCCTCCTACCTCAGCCTCCCGAATTCTGGGATCAAGGGCATGTGCCACCACACCTGATGTCATCCGTTCATTTTTATTCAATCAAGAACTATTTGCTGAGTGCCTGCTGTCTGCCAGGTGCTGTTCTAAGTGCCCGGGCAGAGCCGGGAGCAAGACAGTAACTGTGTCTTCCTGGGTGAACTGGCAGGGGCGGCTGAGATGGCCGAGGCACCTGCACTCCTCCCAGGCCCAGGTTCTTGGGTCTGCCTGAGAAACCTGGGCCCGCCTGAGAAACCTGGGCCCACCAGAAGTGACATTTTTACTGAGCGGAAGAAGTAGGTCCAGCGGCTGGGGATTTAGCTCAGCGGCACAGCACCTGCCTGGCAAGCACAAGGTCATGAGTTCGATTCCTGGTACAGGAAAACAAACAAAAAGAAGTAGGTCCAACATGTTTAAAACCCTTTCTGAGAGATGAATCAACAAATAAAAGTTGTTCTTCCACCTCCACAAAAACTACCACAGGCATTTTGACAGGATCTTTCTAGAAACTTCTCATTTCTCAGGGTCCAAGAGATTTTGGTCAGATGAATAAACAGGCTCCCCCCCACACACACACAAAATAAACATTTTGTTTTGTTTTGTGGTACTGGGAATGAACTCAGGGGCTTTCCACTGAGCTACATCCCAGTCCTTGCCCCGCTTTGAGACAAGGTCTCAGTAAATCTCTAAACTGGTGATCCTGCCGCGCGTGGTGATGCACGCCTGTAATCCCAGCACTCAGGAGGCTGAGGCAGGAGGATCATTGCCTAGGCTACAAAGGGAGCTCACGGCCAGCCTGAACTGCATAGTGAGACCCTGTCTCAAAAAGACAGAAAAAAGAAAACAACTGGTGATCCTCCTCCCTCAGCCTCCCAGAGTGCTGGGATGACAGGTGTGCCTGTCACATGCCTGGCTGTAAATTTTATTTACTAATTATTGTTGCACAGGCAAGGGAGATGGGAGACATCGTTCTCCTAAGGATGTGTGGAAAGGGGCCCAGAGAGGTGGTGAGCATGACCAAGGTCACACAGCACTGCCCCTCTTCGTGCTGAGGACAGGCAGGAGACAAACGTGGTGGGCTTTCCCAGGCTCTCAGTATTTCCGCCCGAAGACTGGTCTCTGAGTCCTGAGGGTGTGGGGATTTCCATCCTCCCCTCGGCCCCAGCTTACTCCTTTAGCTCCCATCTGTGAAAAGGGGGCCTGGAAATGAGCACAGAGGGCAGCCGGGCAGGGGACGCCCCGATGTTGGGGGCCAAGCAGCAGCACCTCACCTGGCCTTGGGCTAGGGCCACTTCCTCCCTGATACGCTGTCACACATCCTTTGTTCAGAGGAGGTGACCTGTCCTGCCCCGCCCATGAAAAGTCACCAGACTGCTGTGGACTGCATGTGCCTCTATCACCCCCAGACGCTGGGCGGAAGCGGGAGCAGCCCTGGGGCACTGAAAGAGCCAGGAGGCCCCGCTGTGTTCACGGGAGCCTGAGGGCAGGGGGCCCGGGCTGTCCCCGTGCTGGACGTGGCAGGGAACTGGCCAGGGGAGCAGGCCGAGGCCTGGGATGCCCCCACCCCAGGGCCTTTGCATCGCTGCTCCCCAAGATACCTAGGAGCTCCGTGGTCTCCTGGGCCCGGCTCCAAACGCCACCCCCCATCCCGGCCATCAAAGTCACAACCGGTCCTGTTCCTTTTCCAGCCCCCTGCCATGTCTGAGCTCTGAGATGTTTCGCTTGCTGTAGTCCGCACAGGAGCGGTTTGTCCTTCGTCCTGTCCCTGCGGCGTCTGGAGCAGGAGCCTGGGACGCAGCCGCAGCCACTGCCGGACAGGGTTGCTGGGGCGGATGGGCTGCCACGGGGGACAGGAGTGAGTGGGGAACAAGGGCTGAGAAGACGCATGGGCGACTCGGGGACAGGGGCCTGGGAGGGACCCAGAGACGTGCGGGCAGTGTCCTGGCCTTTGCGGGAGGGGAGGGACGCGGACCGCGCTCACCGTCCCCACTGACACCCAGCCGGGCCCTGAACATCCGGGACACGGGAGGGGGCGGGGCAGGCGGGGGGGCCGCAGGGGACGCCCGGGGCGGGCCGCAGGGGCAGTGGGCGGGGCTGAGACTCAGAGCGGGGCGCAGCTGCTGCGCTTGACTGGGGTTCCTTCCTCGACCTCACGGAAACCACGCGGGAGTTTAATCCCCAAAGTCTTATGTTACTGGTATTAGGAGGGTGGAAACTTAATCCGGCTGTGATGTTTAGAGGTGGGGCCTTTGGGAAGTGATTAGGTTAGGTGAGGTCATCAAGGTGGAGCCCGCGTGAATGAACCTCGGTGGCTTTAGTCGGCCTGCGAGAGAGGCCGCACGCTGCAGTGCCGTGGGGGCCAGGGAGGGTCCTCGAGAACCTGCATAACACCTTCTACCTCTAGAACCGTAAGATAAAGTAACTTTTTTCTTTATAAAATACCAGTCTTGTGTATTTTGTTATAATAGTGAAAAACTGGCCACTATACCATCCCTCTATCCATTTATTGATTTATTCCTTCACCATCTACCATTCATTCAACTATTCATTCATTCTTTATCCGTCCATCCAACCATCCATCCAATCATCCATCCCTTTCATTTATCCATTCATGAGATGCCTTCATCCACTTGAGGAGCCATCTGTCACTCCATCCATTCATTACCCATCCATCGTCCATTCATCCATCCACCATGTATCATTCAACCATCCACCCACCCATCCACCCAATCATACATTCACGCACACATCCATTCATCCACCCACCCACTCACCCATCCATCCAACACGCATCTATCCAGTCATCCAGCCAGCCATCCAATCATACATCCACCCAAACATCCATTCATCCATCCACCCACCCATCCATCCAATCATAAATCCATCCACCCACCCATCCATTCATCCATCCACCCACCCATCCATCCAACCAGGCACCCATCCAACCATCCAGCCAGCCATCCAAATACATCCACCCAACCATCCATTCATACATCCACCCAACCATCCATCCAATCATACATCCACCCAACCATCCATTCATCCATCCACCCATTCACCCACCATCCATGCAACCATCCATCCAGAGATGTTTCTATCCATCCAAGGACCCTTCCATCACTTCATCCATTCATGACCCATCTATCATCCTTTCATCCACCCATCAAATATCATCCATCCATCCATCCACCCATCCACTCACCCAACTCTTCATCCATTCATCCATCCATCCAGTTATCCAATCATGCATCCATTCAACCATCCATCCATCCACCCATTTTATTTATCCATTCATGAAATGCTTCCATCCATCCAAGGACCCACTCATCACTCTATTCATTGTCCATCCATCATCCATTCATCCACCCACCATATATCATGCAACCATCCACCCACCCATCCATCCAACCATGCATCCGTCCTAACTATTCACCTACCCATCTATCCATCCATTCTATTCCATTACATTTATCTACTCATGAAATGCTTCATCTGTCATCCACCTATAATCTATTCACCCATCCAGTCAACCATGCTTCCATCCATGCAACCATTCACTCACCATTCCTCTAACATCTGGAGAAGTGTCCCTGGTCAGTTCTCACTGACTGAAGTTTACTCACTGACAAGATATCAAATAAACTTGATTAGAACCAAGCTTACCAAAGCAGTGACTATTTAGCATTAGAAATGAGGCATAAGTGACCTAGGGAATAAAATTTTTAAATTCTACTTCATTTTAATTAGTTAATTAATTAATTAATTAGTTTATTTTTGAGAGAAAGTCTCTCTATGCAATTCAAGCTGGCCTTGAGCTCACTTTGTAGCCCAGGCTGGTCTTGAACTCAAAATGATCCTCCTGCCGCAGCCTCCCAAGTGCTGGGGTTACAGGCATGCGCCACCATGCCCAGCTCATTTTAATTAATTTAAATGTAGCTTTAATTGCAGACAGTGTGAAATACTTTCCCCTCAGATGCAACAGGAATACTCTGGTAAGACTATGTTTCATTGGGCATGCTGCACTCCTGTCATCCCAGCACTTGGGAGGCTGAGGCAAGAGAATCACTATGAGTTTAAGGCCAGCCTGGGCTACACATTGAGTTGAAGACCAGCCTGAACTACACAGTGAGATCCTATCTCAAAAAAACAAAACAAAACCCTACAATGGAGAAAAGCCTATGAAGCATCTCAGGGTGATTTTGATATTGATTTCGTGTTGAAATGATGGATAGATTGGATTCAATAAAGCATGTTCCTAAAATGAATTTCACCAGTTTTACTTTTTAAAAAATGTGGCGGGGCCACGTGTGGTGGCACAAGTCTGTGATCCTGTACTCTGAGAGGCTGAGGCAGGAGGATCCCTTCAACTTTGTAGCGAGTTCAAGGCCAGCCTGAACTTCGTTCGTATCAAGAAGCTGTTTACAAACAAACGAACAAACATAGTCCAAAATGTGGCAGCCAGCAAGCTTGATGTGTGCACTATTTGTGCTGGCTGTGGGAGTTGGGAGTGAAGTCAGGGCCGGTGCCCCTGTAGAGGTCAGGGCAGTAGGGGAGGCTTCCCAGGGGGACCAAGGACAGGAAGGCGCAAAGGTTCGGTTCTGGATTGAGCAACAATCTGAGTGTGAAAGGGACACAGAGGCCTGGAGGCCTGGGCAGGAATTTCCTCTTCCCCAAGAGCGGGAGCTTGCAGGTCGGGT